AAAAAAAAAAAAAAAAAAGGAAATACTATCCGTTTAATTGAATAACAACATGAATCTTATCCTAAGCTATAAAAAGCCAATCAATGCAAACATATATTATATTTTAACTAATTGTAAACTTAAATTTCTACCGTAATCACATTCTTCATATGGAAGTTAATTGAGTCCTGGTGCACAATAAAGAAAATCCCAACACTATTTGTGCATGTTTTTTATAAAGTCCAATAAAACTCTCTTGTGTATCCACATTCAATGATGCGTTGAATTTATACACACATTATCAAGTGATCTTAGTAAATTAGACACTTAACTGGATAATATCAATTCATCCAGATAAGTATTTACGAGAGATTAATGGAAATCATACTTTCCAGTATTTACACTTTTTCACTTTGTATACAAATTTTACGTTGCCTTACAATTTTTATAATGTCCCATAATTATATTATCCTTAACAGAACTATGTATAGCCAGGGTAAGGATTAAAAACTAGTTCCATATATATGGGGACATGGGAGAATATACATCTCTCTCCCAGCTTTCCTACACCCACCCTGAGGGGAGAAAAATCACCTAATATCCTGACAACTATCCCACACAATCAATCCTTGAGCCTCTGACCTCTGACCTAACCTCTGTGTCTCACCCTCCCATCAGCCATTATGCCAATATTTCTATGCCATTATTGGGCCCCCTTGCCTCTACATTTCTCTCTTGCATGATTTATTTGAACAATAACAACATCGATTATGAATAATAAGATTTGAACATTTATATTTCACGCTTTTCATAGCTGTAATATTTAAATATACCAATACCACAGGGTCCCTAGCAAATTTGAATGTATATAAGTATTCCCAATACACCATACATAGTTATAGCTATTACGTCAATCTGTGAGTTGACCTATAAAAATTAGTATCTACCATATCCGATCACACAAATACTTAGATACATTTACTAATAATTCATTATGGACACTAACAGCAAAGTTCGAATGAACAGCAAGTAAAATGTCAATGAAATTCAAAGCACTCAAAAAATATATATTTTTAAATAAAGTTTATATAGTAATACATGCTTCCTGAATCAAAGACTAGTTGATCTATTTCTTATAATTTTCATGGGAGTACAATATTTTAGGTAGAAGGGGTTATGCAAAGGACAAAATGATGATCTCTAAATGCCAATAAGCATTTAGAGAATAATATTATCAACATATGTGGCAAAGACAAGCCAAACCAGTCACTCGTCGCAAATCGTGTTTCAGAGAAAATGGCCAAAACATGCTGGAATGTCAAATTTTAAAAAATCTATTTTATTGCATTAAACTAACCTTTATATATCTACACTTCATTCTATGCTGTTATTTTCCCTATTTTCAATGTTAAAACAATACTTTTTAAGGATTTAAAGATAATTTCTGCATGAGAAATGTCTGAAATCATAAACCTTGACGGTTAATTTCTCATATATTGTTCTTTAAACAGCTGTGTGGTTAAACGCTTGTAACTTCATAAGGAAATGTCCGATTTGAATGATTTTTTTTACCATTTTATAGCTATTATTTTGTTCTCTAACACTGTATTAATAACTCAAAATTGATTTTTGCGACGAGTGACTGGTTTGGCTTGTCTTTGCCACATATCTAGGCTGGAAAAGTAATGAGGGAGGGAGGGAGGTCTTTCATTTTTATTTTTTACTTTGCTAAAGCCAAATCACCCTTGGGTGGTTTGCTGGTACATTGAAATTCAAAGTAAAATGCATAATACAAACAATATCTACTATTTAATTTTTAAAAATATAAAAAATTAAAAAAAGTAACAAATTTTTTTTTTTCAAAATGTTTTTTTTTTCAATACCATAGAAGACATGAGGGCGATGATGATAAACCAATCATTTTTCTTTATTGGGCCTAACCTTTATTTTATTGCAAGGGGAAGGCGTAACAGGAAGAATGTTTCATACTCTTATAAAAAGTCAAACACATTGACTCCTTATGTCACATTATGAGGTGTAGAGAGTACATTCCTTGGTCATTTTGAGAGAATGCTTACCAAGGAATCTGGATGGGAAGGCTCTCACACAGTTAAAAAAGCAAATTATTTCTATTAAACAGGGAACACAGAAAATATTAAAATCACACATTCTGTGTCAATAGAGGTACACACACTGATCTAATTGCTGGATTGCTCATTGGCTCGTTTTAATTGGTGGCCACCAGCTCATTTGCAAATACTAAAGTGACGTACCAGTATAGTCATGGTTTTTTTTTTCAACATTTGTTTAAATTAGCGTTAAAAATAACGATTTCTTGAAATACATATTAATAAAACATTTAAATAAATTATGAAATTTTTTTCAAATCCTCTAGATTTTTGGTACAACCACTATCTGTCTCTTATACACATCTAGATGTGTATAAGAGACAGACCATAAATGACCTTAAATGACCTATTTGTGGCAATCTGACCAGGTAAAAAATGGTAATGGTATGGTATATACATTGAATGACCTTAAATGACCTTTTGTGGCATTAATGACGATCTGACCATGTCGCAAGTGTTATAAATCCTTGACCATGTAATATAATTTTAGATATCATAATTCTCATTAAAGTGGTTTAAAAATTGATTGATAAATATAAGATTTGCGTGGCATAAATTTTGAAATTCAAGATGTCCGCCAGAATGACCTCGAATGAAATATTGTAGTTCATTGTAAAGATTTTGAATTCTGAAAGTCTGGGTATGGATCTAATGTAAAATATGACAATTATGTAATTTTTAAGATACCATACAATATTTGACCTTGAATGACCTTAAATGACCTATTTGTGGCAATCTGACCAGGTCAAAAATGGTATTATTGTATTCCTTGACCATATAAAAATAGTTTCAGACATTAGAATTATAATTCCAAGTGGTTTAGAAGCGGAGATATAGATAAACATAGGTTTTATTAGGCGACCATTTTGAAATCCAAGATGGCCACCACAATGACCTCGGATGAGATGGTTCCTACCAAAAATTGAATGTTATGACCATAAGGAGCATGTAAAAAAAATTTGGTGCTTTTGTCCGGAACATCCACATCCATCTGCTAAGCTGCCGGACTAGTGTCAATAGAGGTACACACACTGATCTAATTGCTGGATTGCTCATTGGCTCGTTTTAATTGGTGGCCACCAGCTCATTTGCAAATACTAAAGTGACGTACCAGTATAGTCATGGTTTTTTTTTTCAACATTTGTTTAAATTAGCGTTAAAAATAACGATTTCTTGAAATACATATTAATAAAACATTTAAATAAATTATGAAATTTTTTTCAAATCCTCTAAGCACTCAATACACCAGTTTAAGAAAGTGCAAGCGAAGTAGCGTTGTTAGCGATTGACGCCACTACTAACAAGCTAACAACGCAACATCGCTTGCACTTTTTTAAACTGACAAAAAACAGGTGTGATTCTATGAAGAATGCAATGCCACAAGCGCACAATGCATTGTTGTTAATGACGATCCATTCAGACTGCCACTGACAATCAGCAGACGACGTTGCATCGTCTAGTGCTCACAAGGAGCAGACTATTCTACAACGCAGCGAATGCCCAGCTTTATACTTGAGCTCTATGTGCTTTTAAAAACAATCAGCAGACGACATTGCATCGTCTAGTGCTCACAAGGAGCAGATGACTATTGTACAACACAGCGAATGCCCAGCTTTATACTTGAGCTCTATATGCTTTTAAAAACAATAGGTAGACGACGTTGCATCGTCCAGTGCTCACAAGGAGCAGACGACTATTCTACAACGCAGTGAATGCCCAGCTTTATACTTGAGCTCTATATGCTTTTAAAAACAATAGGCAGACGACGTTGCATCGTCCAGTGCTCACAAGGAGCAGACGACTATTCTACAACGCAGCGAATGCCCAGCTTTATACTTGAGCTCTATGTGCTTTTAAAAACAATAGGCAGACGACGTTGCATCGTCCAGTGCTCACAAGGAGCAGACGACTATTCTACAACGCAGCGAATGCCCAGCTTTATACTTGAGCTCTGTGCTTTTCAAAACAAGAGTTGTAAAGATAAAAAAAGATGACAAAAAAGGGGAAAGAAGATAAAAATAACAATACTATTAGCAAAAAAAAAAGAAAATAAGTAAAAAAAAATGGGTACCATTCAAATTTATAAGGAAAAGAAAAGGCAAGTTTTAAGCTGAATTGTAAGAGAATTTCAAAGTAAACATGATGGAATGCTGCTGTATAATTTAGGAAAGAATTTCTGGAAATTGGACTTAAAAAGCAACAGCAAAACAAGCATTTTGAAATTATGAGGCAAAAGTTTCCCTTAGCACAAGTGGCATAGGGAGCTGTCAGATAGCTGAGAGTGAGCTGTCAGATGGTTAGCACTCCATAAACTTAACTTAATTGGTTCTAAGAATGTCCATTGGGAGTTAACAAGAAAGTTCTAAAAACTCTAAGAGTTTGTTTTTTTTCTCACATTTATGGAATGCTCTACCAAGTGAAGATGAAACAATTATTAATTGTTAAACACATAGTTATGCCTTTTATTTATCAATAGTTGGGATGGCCTACCAAAGCAGTCTTGGCCCAGGAAGTCCCTCGCCATTGCATTCGGCCTAGCCTAGGCCTAATGTAATATCTGTTTTGTCGTCTTTGTATTGAAACATCATCATGAGATCAATAGAAATCACTTTAATCTTCAACCTATCAGTGTATAAGCACTATAACTATCCGTGTATCTCTCTTGTAGACATACGATAGAATTTGATGCAACCTTGACTGAATATCTCATTAGAACAGAATATAGTAGAATATAGCACCCTCTGGGTGAGATAAGCTTCTGTGTCAAAATAACAATAATAATAATAATAATAATAATAATAATAATAAATGAATAATAATTAATAAATAATAATAATAAATAACTAATACTAATAACAATTTAATAATAGTTGAATAATTCATTATACATACCTTCAACAGGTAAGATAGGTGCAAAGACTATCATCTTGAGAAAAGAAAAAGAACAACAGTTAATATCATATACATAAAGCATTAGGCCGACCAGCCCTCCATAAACTAACGTTAGAATACCGCACAATTAAAACCTCATAAAAAAGGCAACTAATCTGTTTACCTATAATTGAACCCAAGGACACCAGTGTTAAACACTCAGTACTTATCCTTGATAATGTGTTAATCCAATTAATATAGTGAGATAACCTAACATTAGTTTATCGAGGGTGGGTTGAGCTAATGGTAACATAAAACTACACCGTATCTACAGACACAACATGGATTCCACGTCTTTCTATGTCACTAGTTAATATTATCCACAACATCCTCAACAGCATAGGATAGCTTACAATCCTCCAATGATGCACAAATGATATTCATTAAATAAAGAGTGATTAGGTATTCACAAGGGAGACAGGGCAGAGCTTGAGTGGAAGAACATTTGATTGCAGTGGAATCAACTATTACTCTAATTTCTACCGATAATAATCATTACTCAAAGACAAATTATATTTTGGATAAGAATTTTCTAGAATTAAATTTAAACCTGCTGCTTCCACAGAAAAGTACTATAACATAGTTTAAAACAATGCCGTGGCTAGGGATACGGTACCATATTTTATCTTCCGTTCTTAAAGGTACGGTAAATTGCAACATCCAATAAACTGCCGCCAACGGTGAGACATCATTGTTCATGAAGACTTCTGAAATCGCTCGCTGAATGCAGAGGAAGTAGGTGAAGTAACATTTAGAAGGCCCCTACTTTAATCTATCTTGAATATGAATTAATCCAATACGGATTTTGTGTCGTGGTCTTACATTTAATTAATTTTTCATTCATAACACTGTAATTATTAGTTACATAACTAATGGAGTATTATAGACAATAGATAATAGACTTTATTTCTCTAAATGGACCCCTTTCAGGGTAAGAGAGAACATTCAGCTTCTTGTTAACAGAAAAATACATATAAATAACGAGGCGCGGACACCACACTTTCACAACAGAATGTATAAAACTAAAATAAGCTCATGATTTTCGAAACAAAATTGGCGAGATTAGACTTCTCTTTGTTACTACTTGTGTTAAATAACTGGTACATTTTCATGACATTGGGCCTGGTGTAATAGTACTTTTTTAAAAGTATTTTATATTATAGCATACTTTCACATGACAGGTCAGGTCAAATGTTAAACCTATATCAGCAAAAAGGTAAAATTAATTATACCATCTGTTCTCATACGAAACCTGACACATTGTTATTGTATCGTTGGCCGAAACTCCTTCTAAATGCAACTAATCAGTTTCAATAGTTAGGTTTCGCATGCGAATACATAGTTATTTTGATGTACACGTCCTCATTTATGATGTCATACGCCGATTGCCATCCGCTAAAACTGTGTGGATGACACGCATATCTTGCTCATTGCGTGGGAAAATTTTGATTTCTAGTACGATCTTTTTTTCACATTTTACAGTAAGTTTAGGGAGCCTCGCAAAATAAAGCAATGCGTATACGAGTGGACCACGCGATGCGATTAAAGGCAGTTTAATCCCATAGTTGGCCACGCATTGGGATTATTTTCCTGGGCTACTCCACTTTGTAGTGGGAAATTGATAACAGGCTTAGTGTAAAAACCCAATTAACACAAACAAAAACGTCTTGTATAAAAATAAACCCTATTGGAAGTAACGCAAGCTCACTTTATATTTCTGAGAATTACATTAATAATTTATCGAGATTATCGTCACCGTTACAATCAAAACCAACAGACAGCAGAAATATAAAACTAGGAGAGGCCTAGGACATAGATATTATACCTCAATGGACAGGCCTAAGCTTTGGCTTACTCAGAAAAATTACGGAGTAAAATTAAAAATCGAAAACAGGCAATTTTTATGAATTTTTGTTAGGCCTAATTATATCTTTTCTACTGTTAGTCTTTAAAATTATCATTTCTTATATCGTTTTAGTATTAATTAAGATTATTAAACAAAACTGTCTAGGACGACAGACAGATATCAGTCTACAGTAGACCTACATTCGATCATGAACGTAGATAGGGTACACTTCCTTCAGTGTTAGCGAAATACAAAAAAAAAATATTGAACTTCATATTCATATATGTGAGCAGGTGTCCTAGGCCTATATCTATTATAATATTGATTAATCTGGAACTTTGGCGGAACAGTATATCCATTGTATGTGACGAGAAATGTTTCAAGAAAAGCAAAAACAATTTTCTCCAGCTAGCAGTTACATGCACTGCTCTCACCCCTTTCTACCGATGAAACACATGTTTTGATGCGGCACAAACCTAGACTCTATTCTATTTCAATGTTGATTAATCTTGAAGTTTAGTGTAAAAAAATATATTTATTATATATGATTATCAGGCTCTTTAAAAAAGGTATTGTATTGTATACTGTAAAATATTGTTTTCTCTGTGTTTTCTCTAGATTGCTGTTCAATGTATTGCTTTCACCCCTTTTCAAACAGCGAAGCACATGTTTTGTTGCGTCGTTGATTAACCATGGACTCTACCATTCCATATGCGTTATTAATTTTATAATAATTTTTCAAAATAATTAAAATTTAAAATGTATAATCATTAAATCGTTTTTAAACGCTTGAATGTACCAAATGACTATGTTATTTTACTACAGGGATTTTAATTTCATTTATAAAATGCACTGGTAATGTATAAAAGTAGTTTTCAATTGCTGATACGCCGTGGCGTATCAGCAATTGAAAACTACTTTTCAATTGCAGTCCAAAAGTGGACTTGGAACGTCTTCCTTGCAGTGTACTGCATCGCCGGCTGGAAGTTTAGGGCCTGTGGTTTTGACTTACTCTATGTTCTATCAGTAAAAGTAAAAGTTAGACGCTTGACTCTGGTCCTGTACTCAATGAGCTATGGGATATTTATTGAATTACGATCTCTTAACATATTAACATTATTTCATTCTTTAAATTGCTTTTTCTATCCATTGATTTATTGTCTAAAATTTGTTCTGATATAATAGTTGGGAATAACCTTGCATTTAAAATATATTATGGTAGGCCTATATCAAAAATAAGTGTACAATAGGCCTACTATTTGTAGTCCTATTCATAATAAAGTACAGTGACCGCCAATAAATACTCTCAACATATACGATGAATATCAGAATTTAGTGCAGTAGGCTAAGCTAGGGTGGCATTATTTTTTCCCCATTTATTTTCATTCATTCTCTGTAGGTCATTTTGAAAACAGACATTGGGCCTGGGTGTAATGGAATGGCGTTTTTGGATACGGTAGCCATTTTTTGGCCTAAATTATTGTTGTTCAGCTTCCAAAATGGGGGGGAAAAAACCCCACTAAATAAAAGCATTGTGTTTAGATCAGATTATCATACAAGCATATACAAGTGACTGTTGTACACACACACAGTAGATCTTGATTAATTAGGCCTATGTTCATGTAATAAACTGTTTACGCTAATTAACTTTAATTTATGTTCTACTGAATGAGCTGTTCTTGTTTGATTTTTAATTTCTGTTTGTCCCTTCCTTGTTGTCTTTATTGTAATTAATTTATTTGTATCGTACCAAATCCATTTTTAAATATATATAACAAATATAAAATATAATTGAAAATGAGACTTAAAGAAAATAATAAATACAAGATTTAATTGCACACAAAAATTCAGAGACTGATATTTTCTTAGTTTATTCTATGCTTTTCCATGGTAACATCGAGTTGTTATCACTGGGCGCCGTACAAATGGTACGGCTGCATAACTCGGCCTGCAGCAAGATCAATGACCCTTAATAGTCAATTTCCATAGCAGCAGAACCGTGGGACTGTTCCTATAAATAGTTCTAGAAGAAGCAGGTGCTGGCATTAAATTGCGTTTATCCTGTCACTACGAATTTATTCCTCCATGCTCATGGCAACAACATGAGTTTGGCCTGATTATAACACTGGGCGGCGTACAAAGGGTTTGAGCTATGCATAACTCGGCAGGCAGCAAGATCAATGACACGTACACTATTTGATTCAGTCTGTATTTCCATAGCAGCAGAGCGTGGGAATGTTCCTATGAATAGTTCTAGAAAAGGCAATATACTAGCATTAAATTGCGTTTATCCCGTCAATATTCATGGCAAAAACATGAGTTTGGCCTGATTATAATACAGTATAAAAGTGTATAGGAAATTTCAGTGGGTTTCGAGTTGGTATTCGACATTTCGGTTTTAAACTTTACAGGATAGCTCAATAACAAATGACAGGATATAGTATTAAAATTAATTCATAATAACGAATGAAACTTATGACAAATCATAGAAAAGAGACTTGTCGATAAATTACAGTACATCAAAATCATGAGATAAACCGACGCAAACAAGTAGAACAAAAATGTCGGAAAACGAACCCTAATTCGAGAAATGGAATCGTCCAACATTTTTGATTAGTACCTTGAACCACTCGTCGGCAATGCGAAGAGATTTTAATTCCCAACCATACGTTGTAGACGGGTATACGCGTTGCTTTATTTTCCATTTTGCAAGGCTCCCTTACAAAATAAATGTATCTTTAATACGTACATGCACATTTTTTGTGACTTTTGAAGACAGCAAGTTACGATAGGATGCATCTCATTTTGGGGTATGAAAAAACGTTGGTGCTTGGTGGAGTTGGGATTTTCCTGTAGGCCTAGCTAGTAGCCAGGCACTTTTGGGTCACAAAATAACCAACTCTTCTGGGCAACAAGGGAAGGAGTATTATTCGGCTACCACTTCCAATTTCCAAAACCTTACATACCAAAACAGCAGGCCATGCCAAAATCTAATTTTGAGAAGCATGATGAGAGAAGAAAACGGATAGTCTAGGCCCTAAGCTAGGCCTGGCCTAAGGCCCGACGCTTAGATTTCGCTGTCATTGCTAAAAGCACAGCATGGCTACAAACAGTTACGGATAGCTAAACGTAGTGAATCTGAAGACCTTGTACTTATCTAACAATTAGGACAATTACAATTACTGGGTCCATCATTGAAATATCGTATACTGTTGAATAGTGCCACTGGATTGCCAATCT